CTGTATGACAGACAAAAGGCTGGTTAGTTTTTTCTGATATTTACATTTTTACTGCAAGCTAGTTCACTACAAAGTATAACAAAGAAACACAGCTAGAAGAAACTGCTGCGTGCCTTCAGCAACAGGAAGAAATTCACGGTGCTTTTGATGAGACCTATTCATAAAAACTGCATCTTTAAAAACTCATCTCTTGGGACAGTTATAAAAATACTACAGCCATTCCCTTACCCTCAAGTAGCACAATAGTAAATCATCTGCTCTGTGTTCCAAATTAAATCCTTGTAAATAAAGTTTAACCATGTAATGGACTAAATTCTTTTCTATTTGTTGATTATCTTTTGTTTAATTGAACAACAATGCAAGAATGACAATGTGCAGATCCTAGTCAAGTGCAGATACTTTATCTTTGGGCAGGATTCAGAGTATGTTTCATTTTAATGGCAGAGATTTCTTTTTTAAATTGAAATAAATAACGGGGTCGAGATAACCAAGGCCTTAAGCCTGTAAACACTTATGCACATATGTAACTTTACTCACATGAGTAGTCCCACAGAAATTAAGTTATACACATATGTAAGAAATTACTGGACTGAGGCCAAAGATTATCATCAGGTTAAGAATAAAATGCCCAAACTAATTTGGACAACGCACAAGACTAGATTCTAGCATTTGTATATGAAATAGTGACCAAACAGCAAAATGAAGGTAAACTAAAGCACTTTTCAGTGAGTTTTCCTACACAGCCTGCATTATTTTTCAGCTTATTGTGACTTTGAATGTTGGTGTTGTATCTGGCTTTGGAGGTTATGTTTCAGCAATCACATTTCAATCTATGCTGGGAAGTTGTTGATGTGTTTTACTGGAACTTTATGAGCTTTGTCTCTCAAATTAACTTAAACCAGGACCATCTGAGGTCAAATGTGCTTAGCTTGCTTTAATTTGCTCAAATAAATGAATAAATAAATGTGCCAGACCATCTACATAAAGTCAGGGCAAGTGAAAAACAATACGCAATATCCAGATTTCAAGATCTGTTTTTTTCCCTTTCCTGTTTCTATGTTATATGCTATGCTTGCATGAGAAGGAATAAGCTATTTCAAGTTTGAAACACTGCTGTCCTACCCAAGGTAGGAAGGAGCCATTATAACCTACCTCCAGCTGTACCTCTGAGCTGTGACCAGCAGCCACCGGCATACTATATGTTTTGACATGAATTTTACCTATCTAAATGGAAGTCAGGTATGCTGATCATTTGTTACTCCTACTAGAAAGGTGGTTCTGAACTGACAGCTGGTTTTATCCTGGTGGGTGTTCTGGAGCATCTGCTAATAAGAAAGCCCACTTCACAAATGAGATGTGAGCACAATTACTGCTTTGGCCTGCAAATAACCTGCTGTTTTCACTGGAAAACCTAGGAGATAGAACCTGAAGTCCGAGTCCATACAAAAGATTCTAGCTACTACGCAGGAGGACAGAGTTGTTGAAGTCAGCACGCAGTCACTTACTCCATTATCTGAGGCATGCATCCTGTAGTAAGGATTAGAAGGTTTTGGTGTGGGGGAGGTTCCTGAAGAAATGGCATTAGTGTTAGGAGACCTTCCACACAAAATGATTTACCCAGGTAGCCGAAAGACTGCCTAAATGGGTCCCTAAAATATAGTGTGTTGGGCTGCCTATACATGTGCTCGGGGAGTGGGGTGGGAAGGGAGTATTTTAATTAGAGTGTTTCCCAGAGAACCTCTCTAAATAAAACACCACAGCATCATGTGTATTAAGTCCCCGCTTCCGGGTCCACCACCAAGCATGTGGGGGGGCCTCCCTGCACTCCTGTGGGACACTCCATCTGCCCCAGCATTGCAGTGACCATGAACTGTGCCTGGTACCTCGAGGTATGTAGAAAAAAATATTTAAGCTGTGTCTGTGGCCAAATCACTGATTCTCTGAATCAGCATTGCATCCTCAGATTCGGATTCAGCTGAATCGAATCAGGGACAGTGCTCCGAATCAATGAATCGAATCACTGTCCCGGATTCAAGTCAAATCCAAATCCGAATCAAATACGGCCCATTTTACACACCCTGATAGGTACCCTTGATTTCTACATACAGGTCAGTCGCATCATACACGCATTTAACTTGCGCGAATTCAACTATACTTGGGGGGGGCGGGGCTTGAGTCTGCACGCGGTGCTGCCGCTTACCTGGAGGCCCAGCCACCACCACACTGCCAGCGGTGACTGCCTCTGCCTCCAAAACCTCCTGCCACTGCCACGAAGCCATGCCCAGAGCTGTGTGGCTGGCTGCCGGGCAGCAGCAGCATGGTGGTGGCCGGGCAGCACGCAGCCATCCCCACCACCACCCTGCACTGTGCCGCTGCCACCGGCCGCACAGCTCTAGCACAGTTCCATGGCGGCAGCAGGAGGTTTTAGAGGCAGAGGCAGTCGCTGCTAGTCAAATCGCTGGCACGGTAATATGCGATTTGACTATACACGATTTTTGCCTTACGCGCTGACTTCAGAACGTAACCCCTACGTAAGATGCAACTGACCTGTATATTTCAGGGTGCACTTGCCGGAGGTTTTTCTGCTCCTTTCACAGGATAGAGAAGGGAATTCTTCCTAACCAATTGCCCAAGAAACGGAGATCAAATCCAGAAATTATTAGTATTGCTAAAGTCAAACTTCCAAGGGAAGTGGGAATAAAATTAAAAATATGTACAGTTACAGAGGCTAGAGTGGGTCAAGAATTTCTCTGAGAAATTTCAGCAAGAGGGCTTGAAGAATTAATCAAGTATAGGATAACAAGACTTGCCTAAAGCCTTTCATGATCACTTCTAAAAATCAAAAAAGCCATGTCAATAATGGGAGTATCACATTTTGAGCGTATCAATTTTGTACCTGCGTAAGATGTATTTGTGCACAGAAAATGGATACACTCACAGAATGAAGGAAAGCTGACTACGTTTTGGATGATAGGAAAACTCAGAAGAAAGGTTCAATAAAATTCCAAGGAATCACAATGAACTCTTCATGTCTCAGAGACAGTGAAATGTCTCACCTTGGAATGAGAAGTCAGTAACGTGTAAGTTTGATCTCTTTTGGCTAGGGTTGGTGGGGATTATGACATTTAAAATTATTTTGGTTTGTTCAACTGGTGACTTGTGCTGAGGAGCACTAAAGAATTATTTTAATATGAAGGTACAATCCATACCGAAAATCCTGGAACCTGTGCTTGCTGATAACAAGTAATGCTTTGCTATATATTGAACCTTTACTGAGATGGGTAACTATTATTACCCTTTGTTACAAATGAGGGAACTCAGCTACTGAGAGGCCAAGTGAATTCCTCAAGCTCATACCTTTGCCATCAGGAATAAAACCCATATCTCCTGACACCAGGTTCCTTGATATCACCAGAAGGCTATATTGTGTGCCCCTCAATAGAATTCTTGGTGAAAATGAGGTCATCCTATCTGGAATACAGGATTTTATAGACTGATAAAAGTGTGTATATAGAACTATTTATAGACTGATAAAAAGTGTGTATATAGAACTAAATCTTGCCATGGTAAAAAAAAAAGCCCATTAATATGTTGTAGTGAATTTATAATGTAGGCTATAACAGAAGCAGGGATGAAAGTTAAAATATAAGTGCAATGATTGACATATATTTATTAAAGCTAATTTGTTACAAAGAGTCTGGGGTCAACACAAGCGTCTGTATAAGAACATTTAAAATTGCATGATCTAATTTTATCAGAACGCGTCCAGAACCAAAGCCAATGTAGTAAGTAGGCTTATTGTCTTCAGTGAATTTGGATAAGACCCAGGCAGAACACTATTAACTGTACTGGAAGGAGGTTAGCTTTCTTTTTTGTAGCATATTTTCATTCATCTATTTACATTTAAACTGATTTCAAGTATTGGAAACAGACACTAGATTGTACTTTTGTAAGCTTAAATCTGTATACTACATAGAGAAACTATGAAAAAAAGATGATTATAATGTGTAGATAACTAGAAAGTTGGCAGTGTGGGCAGCCTCTTCATTTAGGTGTGAACAAGCTTTTGCCACACCCAGTCTAGGTGTAAGCAGCTTATTTTAAGCTGCCTAAACCTAGATGGGAAGCAATGTTTGCCACCTGAGATGAATAACTCAGGGACTGGGGAACTCGGGGCGGGGGCACACTGGCAGGTCCTGGGGTGGGGGGCAAGAGGAACATGGGAAGGAGAGCTAAAATAGCTTGATTAGGGTAGGGAGGTAGGAACAGCACAGCCTGGGGCTAGAGCAAGTTGCTGGGCTTTCCCAGCCCCATGCCTGTGCTGCAAACATATGTAGGCATCCTCTAGATCAGATTAACCCCTTCCTGGATTGGTTTAACTCTTTCATGATCTAAATTAATCTCGTGAACTAAGGCTTATACATACTCTTACATATTCAATATGTTGTTTTCTCCTTGTTCAGTATATGGCCCCATGTCTGTCTTAGCCCAAAACATAAGCCCAAAACATCACACCAGTCTCCATTCTCCCTTTTCCTTCTTTTGACTGAAATTTTCCAAAAAAAAAAAATCTCAGTTTGAAGCAGACTTCCACAGAAAATCTCAATCCAAATAGTTAAAGTTTGGCAAAATTATAAGTGAGTGAATATAGAAATTTTAATGGAAAATATTAGGCAGCCTTAATAGTAGGTGGTCCCACTTAGTATGGGATGTGAGTGGCCAATTCTTTGAGGAATTAGTCTGGCCATGAATGACAATCATTAAAATGTTAATATTAATTAATTCACTGGCACATTAAAACACATTTTAAACAAAGAATGCACAAAGCATGGAATAAGCAGTCCTTAATGTTTGTGAAAATAAAAACAAGCTAATTCCCCTCAGAACCACATTAATTCAAAATTCTGCAAGTAGATATGGAGGATGTTATGTATTAATTTAACAAAATTAAGTCATAAGACAATATAAAAGGAATCTATGTAGAAACATTTCTACATTGT